CCGGATTCCCCTGTCTGTGAAGCCAGGCCCAGCAGCAGGGAGGGTTTTGCCTCCATGTTCTTTCGGGGCCGCCGCTCCGTTGACTCAAAATGTCCCTTCTTGCCCAGGCCCCCTCCCCCCCCGCCTCTGCCCGGGAGGGTGATGAGGCTGGGACTTTGGTACCGCAGGTGAGAGCGGCTGGCTGAAAGCATCGTAATCTAATTAATTATTAAGACGAGAAAAATTAGTTTAGTTAGCGCGCACGATGGATCTGCAACAAGTTCCCTGCTGAGGCGAGGTGTTTAAACTTGCGCTGGAGGTGAAATCGCTTGCTCCAAAATACAGAGATTAGAGTTTCATGTTTACGAAGGTGAGGGTTTTGCTCGGCATTGCCCAAATGTATTAATGGGCTTTTGATCAAGTGTAGAATAAGTCATTCCTTACTCCGTAACAGCAAATGTTTCCAGTTTGTGGGGTCAGGAGCACTGATCCGACAGTTCTTCATTTAAACTTCTTACGTTATTGGGGAGCCTCTGTTTTCTGATCCCATAAACAACGCTTCAGGCAGGAGCTGGGGTCCGTGGTGATCTGTGCTGACTCCAAGCCCACGATTTCAAAGGTTGCAGGATATCGCCGTGCTGCATCGCTCTGTACAGCATTCGTGATTTACGGTGGTTTCTGTTAAACCGAGCGGTGGTGTGCACTGAAACACAAGACAGTAGAAAAACAAGCCCGAGGATGAAGCTGCAATTTTGAGAGTTGCTTGCTTGCTTTCCTGCTAGGGAGGGAAGAGCAGCAGCAGTGAAGCGCGTACTCGTAGGCTTTATTATCGTAAATTACTTTTGTGTATAGAAAAATAATTATGCAACCTTTAGAGTTGCATGCTTGATTACTAGCAGCAGCTTGACATTATCTGGCTTTTGTACTGCCCTTTTGGCAGATTAGGAAAATTCTGGCTGGGGTAAAGATGACTCTCTCGAAGGAGCTCACCCAGAAGGTGACTTTGGGTGAAGTTTCTCCCAGTTTCATCAACAGGGTGAGCGTTGCTCTTTAGCACCCGGCTTGCTCAGCCAGCCCCATCCTTGGAGGAGCATGTTCCCTTCAGCTTCCCTGCTCGCCCGGCTGGTGTGAAGCCACCCTGGGCAGGTGGCAGACGTCCAGCCCGGTCGGCGGTGGAAGTCCCATGCTGTGGTGGCCCCGGCTGCGCTCGGCCCCAGCACACCAATCCTTGCCGCAGCGGGTATTGGCCTGCTGGAGCTGAGCGCGGCCGGGGCCACCGCAACAGGTGAAGCGTGTGTGGAACGAACTGGAAGTGGAGGATAAGTTCGTTCTTGCGGGGCGCGTCAGGCTCCGCCAAACGTGATGTCTTGGGCTTGGCGCTTGGTTAAAGTGAAGAGGTTATGGCTGTGTCTGCTGTTGTAATGTGTTTTCCTGTTCAGCGTAGAAGCAAAATCATGTGTGTCTTGGATATGAATGATGGTGAGAATTTGAATGATAGCAAAAACATTCTGTCACTTGAACTTTCCCCCGCCCCGTAGCTAGGAAATAACTTTTATTCTTTTAAAAAAAAAGTTTTAGGGACCATGCAGTGAAGGTATTTACCTTGATCTGGTTGTGGGTGCATTATAAATCTTCCCTAATTTGTTATTGAGACTTAGAGATCATTAGGAAAAGCAAGTAATGGGGTAAAATAAGACTTTTTTTTTTTCTCTTATAATGTGTTAAACTGGATACTTTGTTTAATACAGTATTGAAATGCATAGTACACAAGAGGAAGCCAGCTTGTTTGATATTGATAGGGATTTCGTATTTGTAATAGTCTTGTGGCACGTTGAACTAGCTGTTAGTCTTTTAAATGCATTCTGTTTCAGACCTAGTTCGTTTCTGTTGAAGTACGTTGCACCCGAATAAAGTTGCCACATTTGACAACAGTGTCACCTGTAGCACTTTGTTTACTTTCAAGCTTAGCTGCAGCATTAGCTCCTTTATGGTTTCTCAGTAATAGGCCTTATTCTTAATCTCTGGAACAGTTTAGGAGTGAGAGGACATGTCATACTGATGCCTTTTTCTATGATCTTAAAAAACCAAAACCGAACACAAGCCCCCCCAGTTTTGTTGGGGCAGATTTGAGGGGTGGCTATTTGTCTGCTTTAGGTTAGCACTGGGAGTTGGCAAGTGCTAGTTACCAAATACTGGTGTGTTTGTGGGGAGAGTTTGTTGCTGCGAGGGACATTCAGCTCACTGAGCTACCACTGTGCATGTCCCAACTGCACTGGTTCGCTGAACCGGTCAGCTGTCTTGGGGATGGAAGGAGGTCAGCAGTTCCCATTTGATGCCTCATTTGTACAGCTGTTGAGAAACTGAGGATAGCTCTGTTTTTAATGGATTCATTTTCAGCTGGGGAAGTATATTTCATGGTTGTAGTGGTAACATGCATAATACCCAGCAACGATACTGCTGAACTTAAATCATGTTCTTTTTCTGCTTTTCTTCTTCTCTTACACAATTTATTATCTTTCTAAATCTGCTTTATTACATACATTTCTTTTGCTAAACCTTACTGCAGTGTTATTCATGTTCTCCCGCATGCTCACTTTCTAGCAACCGTCCTGGTGGGCAAAGAACAAATGTATCTTGAAGGTGTGATTTTTATTTATGGGTGATCTTTTAAGAAATTACATATGCATAAGACAGTTGCCAAATTCTAGTGTTTTCTCGCTTTGTTTTGAGAAGTGGGGTTTGAGAATACTGATTAACTTTAAATATGAAACTGATTTTCATATTTTCAGGAAACATTTGAGTCTTGAGTAGAAGGCTTCTGTGCAGAGCTAGGAACTGCCTATGAATTTAATCTAGTTTGGTAATTAGAGGGGAGAACAAGAGTAATATCTTCCATCCAGAACAATTAT